AGAGAGACAGGGGAAGAGGGAGAAAGCACTCCCCAGTGAGGTGTGGTCACACCACAATCCCTTCTCCTCCATTTCTCCATCCTATAGCAATTTTGGGGTACACAAGCACATGACTGGTGTGTTTCTGTAGTTGCTGGGGCTGAGATTCAAACCACATTTGAATGTGGGATCCAGCTCCTTCTACCACTAGGCCACAGGACCAACCCGATAACTGTTGTACCCAGATTAGAAGCTAATCTAGAGGCTCTAGAGGCTAATCCTACACATGCATTATTGCTGTTAATCCTCACAACTATTTGAAGTAGGTATCATTATTTTCCCCAGAAAACTGAGGCTTAAAAGACTTTTTTGAATCTTTTCAACTTGCCCAAGTTCCAGTCCCCCTAACTCTGAGTTCCCCTTGGCAGATGGCCATCTCCTACCTGATGAGGGCAACAGAAGCACTTTGAGAGGACCGCCCACATGTCCCCACGTCGTTCAGATATTCCCACGCGCATCAGATCTTGCTCTCTTCCTTCATCTGCTCTTTCTGGATCCTGGCATTCCAATCATTCTTTCTTGCTCTCTCCATTATTGCTTCAACTCTCCTCTCAATGGACCCCTCCCCCCCCACTGCCGTCTAGTTATGGTCATTAAATACTCCCAAGCACTAGACTCCACCAGATCAGACCTAGGAGCCCACTGACCTGGCTGGCTGGCTGCAATTCAAAAAGCAAGTCGGCTGAAATACACCCTTGAGAGCTTGTCACCTCTAGGATAGCCCCATGGCCGACCCAGGCCACTCGACTGACATCATGCCTGAATTGCAGCTAGGCCTAGAAAGGCCTGCAGCCAGTGTGTGGCACATGGTGGCCAGGATGAGGAAGGGCCTGCTGCTGAAGGACCTGGAGAGTTAAGGTGGAACTTCCTCTGGGGGCAACTTCCTCTAACTTTGGGAGCCAGATTTATCATGAGACTGCAGGCTCCATTTTCAACACCAGACAGTTCCCTGAAGGGGCGATCACACAGCAGACATAAAATCCTGTTCAATAGTACCTGAGATGGCCAAGCAGCGGTCCAGGCCCGGGGCCCAAGTCACTCGAAGCAGCTCTGGATCAGGACTAGGTGCAGACACAGGGCACTGGACTGAGCTCACAGGATGGACAATATCCCGGGGGTCAATGAGACACAGCTGCCCGTTTGAGCCAAGGCTGGCGATGCTGGGCCCAGGGTCGCGGCCTCCAGCTTCTGCACACCACCTCTCTCCTCCACACCCAGAGCAGGGACTATCGTTTTTCAGTGGGGCCCACTTCTGACGAGTATCCACAAGGCCCAGCTGGCCTGAAGTGCAGCAGAAAGCAAAGGTGTCTGCATCTAGGACCTGTAGGCTACTCAGCTCCTCACTGTCACTGACACCTGGAAGACCAAGGACAGAGGAGAAAAGCTGCTGTCAGATGAGTCTGGCAGGGCTGGCTGGTCACCGGTCCCTTCCCACCAGTCCCAGGCAGAACGAACATTTCCCACTCCTACTCGTCTCACCACAGCCTACTTGGTGGGTGGTGCTGGTCTCTAGGATCATCTCTTCCCACCCCAGAGCAGGAGCTTGAGGCGAGGGCTTGCCTCCCACTGCAGATTCCCCAGCATCTGCACAGAGGGTTGAACTAACTTCTAAACGTGGCTGCACTGGGTTGGGAGGCAAATGTTGGCTGGAGGATGCAGCAAGGGGTAAATGGCTACCATACCTGAGGTATATGTGGTCTTCTGGGATTCCAGATCTACAATCTTCAGGCTACTGAGCCTCACCCCATGGAGGACACCAGGTGTCATCGAGGAAAAGATGGCCACTCTAGGCCAGAGATTTTCTTCTTGTTCATTCACAGCAATAGTGCTGACAGTTTTAATGACATCTGGAGAGGAGGGGAAAAGAGGATAAAATCCAGAATGCCAATGATGGTTTGAAACAGCACATGACAAAGGCCAGCCAGCCATCTTCCCCCAAACAAACAGGTGGTTAAGGAAGAGAAGGATGGGAACCAGCAGTTAGTCGACCGCGGTTTGCGTCCCGGACCTGGTGGCTTAAACTCACGCTGGGCGCGTGTGCATGCGTGCCCAAGATCCCAAGAGGAGAATGGAGGAGAAGGGATTGCGGCGTGACCATCCCCCCTGGGGGGTGATTTCTCGCTTTCTGTCTCTATGTCTCTCTCTGGTCATATTTTTAAAATAATAATAATGGTGCCAGTAGGTGGCATCATAGTGGGCATGCTGGAATCCCACATAGATGACTATGGTTCGAGTCTTGGACCTGGCAACTTGCTTTTTAATTCTTTCTATCTCATTAAGTTAAAATAAAAAAGTTAAGTAAAATAATTCTTTAAAAATATAAATTAATAAAATTAAATTAAATAATTCTAGAAAAAATAACAAAGTAGTTCAAGTACAGAAGCCATTAGCAGTTAAGGAGTACACAAAGGAAGTCAAATCCGATAGGGCTAGCTCGTTCACGCAGACGGTGCCCTAAATAAAAAAAAACCCCCCCAAAAAAAAAAAAAAAAAAAAGAAAGGGAGCTGAGAGTTGAAAAGAGGATGTTGAGACATAAAGACTTGGAGTTACGTTACTTTTTTTTTTTTTGGAGAGGTTTTTGCTATAGGGCGCGTGCACTCGCCAGACAGACAGAGACAGAGAGATAGAAAGCGAGAAATCACCCCCTAGGGGGGATAGCCACACTGCAATCCCTTCTCCTCCATTCTCCTCTCAGGATCTTGGGCATGCACACACGCGCGCCCGGCGTGAGTTTTAAACTACCTGGTCCAGGACGCGAACTGTGGTCGACTACATGGGAGTCCAGTGACATAGCCATTATGCTAACTGCTGGTCCCAAGTTATGTTACATTTTTTAAAGTGTCAGAAGCACTCACTTTAATATCTTTATAATTTATCTTGTGAACTATTTTTACAAATGGGATATAATGAATCATAGCAACCATCTCAAAACTCCAAGAGCAGTTCTGGCTTTTTATAGTTTTGTGGAGAATAAATACAGGAAAAGAAAAGCAATGAAGACACTGCAGGTGTCATTTACACCTTCAGTGAAAAACAGCAGGTTCAGAGTTCATCAGCTAATATCATTTACTCAGAAACACATCCTTTGTCCTCAGGCATTTTGCTAAAACCCAGCAAGTAAAGGGCATGTTGCAGTTGTCATCGTCTTAAAGTGTAAACTGGACAAGTCCACATCCTTTTCACATTGAAGGGCTATCTGGCCTCCGGTAGAATCAAGTTTTAGTTTTCTAAGGAAGTCTTCAAAAAGTTAATGGAAAGTGTATATTATTTTTTTAAAAATGCATGAATTTAAAATATTTTTGAACCAAAATAAACTTGTACTTTAAGGGACAAGCAGATAGCATAATGGTTACATTGCTGGATGCCCACATAGTCAACAGTGGTTCAAGGCCCTGACCCAGCAGCTTAAAACTAATGCTGAGTGCATGCGTGTGTGTGTGTGTGCCCAAAATCCCAAGAAAAAATTTTAAAAAAGGAATAGTAGCATGTCCAGCCCCTCTGGAGGGTGAGTTCTCGCTTTCTATCTCCCTGTCTCTTTCTGTCTCTGTCTCTCTGGTACGCATACATGCCCTATAGCAAAAATCTCTCAAAAAAACAAAAACCTTGTATGTTGGGAACCAGCAGTTAGCGTAATGGCTATGTCGCTGGATTCCCACGTAGTCGACCATGGTTCGCGTCCTAGACCCGGTGGCTTAAAACTCACGCCGGACGTGTGTGCGTGCGTGCCCAAGATCCTGAGAGAAGAATGGAGGAGAAGGGATTGCGGTGTGACCATCCCCCCTGGGGAGTGATTTCTTGCTTTCTGCCTCTATGTCTCTCTCTGTCTGTCTGGCGAGCACACGCGCCCTATAGCGAAAATCTCTCCAAAAAAGAAAAACCCTTGTATGTTAATTCTATTCTCCATAAAGTTTTTTAAAAAGATTCATTTTTAAAATATTTATTTCATTTCATTCATTCATTTGTTTATTTTAATTTGACCAGAGAGAGACAGAGAGAAAGAGGGAAGTTGAGAAAGCAAGTAACCAGGTCTGTGACTTGAACTGTGGTCCCCTTACCCACCCTGCCCCCGGCTGGCCCCCATTTGTTTTTTTTTTTTTTTTTGAGAGGTTTTTGCTACAGGTCATGTGCGCTTGCCAGAAAGACAGAGAGAGACAGAGAAATAGAAAGTAAGAAATCACCCCCCTGGCGGGATGGCCACGCCACAATCCCTTCTCCATTCTCCTCTTAGGATCTTGGGCATGCATGCACACACATCTGGCATGACTTTAAGCCACCGGGTCTGGGACTCAAACCACAGTTGACTACATGGGAGTTCAGCAACATAGCCTTTACGCTAACTGCTGGTTCCCCCAATTTTTTTTTTTAAAGAAGTTTTTGCCTTAGGGAACATGCATTTGCAGGAGAGAGAGAGACAGAGACAGTAAAAGAAAAAGTGAGAAATCACCTCCTAATGGGAATGACCATACCATAATCCTTCTCCATTCTCCCAAGATCTTGGGCATGTATGCACATGTGCCCAGCGTGAATTTCAAGCCATTGGTCTGGGACTCAAACTGGTTGACCATGTGGGAGTCCAGCATCTTAACCACCACATCATCTATTGGCCCCATTTATTTAATTTTACTTATCATTATTATGTATTAATTTTCCACAGGGCATGTGTGCTCACTAGAGAGAAAGTGAGAAAGCAGTACAACTGGTCTGGGACTTGAACAGCGGTCAGCCAAACAAAAACAGCACCTTGTTTTTGTTTTTTGGAGAGGTTTTTGTATAGGGCGTGTGTGCTCGCCAGAAAGTCAGAGAGAGACAGAGAGACAGAAAGCAAGAAATCACCCCCCGGGGGGATGGCCACGCCGCAATCCCTTCTCCTCCATTCTCCTCTTGGGATCTTGGGCAAGTACGCACATGCGACCCACTGGGTCCGGGACTCAAACTGCAGTCGACTATATGGGAGTCCAACGACATAGCCATTATGGCAACTGCTGGTCCCGGGGGTCCAGCACCTTAACCACCATGCCACCTGCTGTCCCCTCCATAAATTTTTTGAAGTGCCCTCATATTTGTCTCAACCTGCTTGGTTAGCAGTAGGTTCTTGTCTATGTATTCTGCATTTGAGAATTAACGGATGCTGTTTGTAACAACTCAAAACATGTCATCTTCTGTACAAAGTATTTAAAGAGAAATTCTTATTTTCCATCTCATATTTTCTTGCTTCAAGAGGGGACTCATTATTTGGGTTCCATATTCTCTTTAGGAGGTGAAGACTTGTGTATCGTCTCACCACTAGAGGACAGACCGAAGTTGGAATGAGGGGGGAGCAGAAGGCAGGACACTCAAGGAGCTCATGAAGTGGCGGCATGGCAGCCAGTTCCCTCAGGATAGTTCCCACGCTGGGAGTGCACAGAGGGGTGTGGCTGGGCTGATGAGAATACAGAGGACCCTTGGGCACGGCTCCCAAAGCCCATGAGACTCTCAGTGGACTTAATCCAGACTTGCTGATCCTAATTGCTCCCCCCACAGAAGCACAGAGGCTCAGCACAGACACAACAGCTGACCCTAAGGACCAGTGAGTGTCTCTGAGGAGTGCAAAGAGGCTGTAATTCAAGCTGCCACAGTAGCTCTGATCAGCTCTCTTGGGTCACATGTAAGTGGCTCCTTCCCTTTCCATAAACTCTTAGGAGCCTGCAGAGATTCTCCTTGGACCTGCCACTGAGCCAGTGGGTGGTTCTCAGCTGTGACTTGTCCCTGATGGGAGGAAGAGAAGACCTTTTTTAGAGATCTGGCAGAAAACAAAGGCTCGAGAGCCTCTTGCCTGGACAGCTGCTCTGTGAGTACAGTTGGAAGGAGGTCAGGTCTCCTTCTCTAGTCAGTGATTAAGACCACAGCAAATTGACCAAACTGGCTCCAGGGTGAAAAGACCAACTACCTCAAAAGCAAAGCAAAAGATACAGCGAGACACCTCTGAGAACTTGGAAACATGCAGGGTCTTCAAGTTCGTGGAAAACGCTTATTCCTAAGATGCTGTGCATGATTTCAAAAGTTTCTGTATTGAGATAAACTAATATTTTGATTCCATAAACTAATATTTTGATTCCATATTTCTATAAACCTTTTGAAGTCTCCCTATGAAAAGAAGAAGGTTTATCTGAAATTATATCAACACGGGATGGGTCAGAGCAGAGGTGAGCAAAGGGACCTGAGGGACCCAGAACAGCTCTGAGATCTACAACACTGAGCAAATGGAGCACATGTCTAAAGGGCGGTGGCACCCACAGGAGAGGACCGTTCCATCACAGAGGCAAAGAAAATGTTGGGGCCTGTCCAGGAAGAGAGGGAGCCACACCAACAGAACGATGTTCAAGTGCCAAGTGGAAGCAGCAAGTGGCATCAGCCGAGACGCTGACACTGTACTCACCTAACTCAGTGGTCTCCACAGCACCAGGGCTGAGAGAAGAGGCCTCAGGCCCTGCCCCAGGTGCACGGACAGCACTCAGGGCCTAGGCTGCCATGCTTTCCCAAGTTTCTTTCTTTTCCTTTTACATTCTTTTTTTGGGGAGAATTTTTTTTTTTTTTTTTTTTTTTTTTTTTTTTTTTTTTTTTTGCTATAGGGCATGTGCACTCGCCAGAAAGACAGAGACAGAGAGACAGAAAGTGAGAAATCATCCCCCGGGGGGATGGCCACACCGCAGTCCCTTCTCCTCCATTCTCCTCTCGGGATCCTGGGCACACACGCACGTGCACTCGGTGTGAGTTTAAGCCACCATGTTTGGGACTCGAACCGCAGTCAACTACATGGGAGTCCAGCGACGTAGCCATTATGCCAACTGCTGGTCTCTTCCCAAGTTTCTTGCTGTCTGCCCATGCCATGTTATGAGAAAGCACTGTGGAAATCTCTGAGCTGATCCCTCTTGCTCTGGCTATACGGAGTCTTTGATCAGCCTAGATCTATAGATGGGAAGCTCCCTGTGGGCCCAGGCACGATGCTGCAGCTGCTAATTCGTCTTTGTTGGCATTAAAGTAGATACTACATTTCTTTTTGTTTGTTTCCTTCAGTTTGCTGGAGGGTGCATACACTCATAGAAGAGAGAGAGAGAGTGAGAAAGGACCCTCCATGGAGTGTGGTCATGCTGTAATCTGTTCTCCTCCTTTCCTCCCTCCCTTCAGTATCCTGGGGTGTGAGCACATACTAGTGTGTTTTAGTCACTGACACTGGGACTCAAACCATACAGTCAGTCACATGAGAACCAACTACCTTTTATTACTTTTTTTAGAGGTTTTTGCCTTAGGGTATATGCACTCACCAGAGAGAGACAGAGACAGTGAGAGGGAAAGTGAGAAATCACCCCCCAGGGGGGATGGGCACACTGCAATCACTTTTTCTTCATTCTCTTCCTCCTGGGATCTTGGGCACGCATGTACACACACACACCTGGTATGATTTTCAAGCCACCAGGTCCGGGACTTGAACCGTCATTGGCCATGTGGGAAGTCCAGTGATGTAACCAGTACCCAATCCGCTGGCCCATGGTTCTAGCCACCTTAACACAAAGTCAATACTGCATTTTAAGTCCCCTGGCTCTAAGTCTCCTTAATCAATTAGCAGGCAGGGCTATGTGAATCGCACACCTTCCTAAAACCTCAGCCTCCACCAAATGACATCACTCACCACTGTCCTCTGCGACCTGCCATACCTGCAGGTAACAACCTGGAAGGCCACTGGTCACCAGTAACCTGTTTGGGATAGACAGGAAATCTTAGTCCAGACAGTGGGGAGTGCAGCAGCATATCCCCAGCCTTGCCTTTTCTGGCCCATTTGGCTTGGGATCCCTCCACTCCTCATGTCAGAAAATCTGACTCAGGGTCATCGGGATATTTAGCAAGTGATGTACAGGCCCATAGCTCGTGTGGAGTCAGGGGACTGAGCCCAGGCTTCATGTGTCACGATGGTCACCTGGAGAGGGTCCCACCAAGGACCCTGAACTGTCCAACTCTCCCAGTGAGCCATGATGGCCAGCTACCCACCGTCAGCTCTCTGAGAAACTAAGAGCACCCTGTCCTGTATCTAGTCCCTGGGTCAACTCCAGGGATCTGTTGGTTACATTCGTCTCAATGGCTGTGGGGGGTCAGGAAGCCACAGCAATGGTTTCTTTGGATTCTAGTGGTGGATGGGTGGGTGAGGGTAACAAGAGTGAGTGTGTGTGTGTGTGTGTGTGTGTGTGTACACACATTCCCATACTTATGAGGGAGTGGCTGTGGGGATAAAAAGGAAATGTATGTGTGTCTGTGTGTTTGTGTATGTACATACCCAAACTTGTGAGGGAGTGTGTGTGCGTGTGTGTGTGTGTGCACGCACATACCCATACTTGTGAGGGAGTGGGTGTGGGGATGAAAAGGGAGTGTGTGTGCGTATGTGCGTGGGAGTGGGTGTGGGGATAGAAAGGGAGTGTGTGTGCGTGCGTGTGTGTGTGTGTGTGTACACATACCCATACTTGTGAGGGAGGGGGTAGGGGGATGAAAAGGGAGGATACCCCTGGGCATTTCTAGCCATCCCTTTCTGAATGGGAAGTCTGGGTCACAGAACTGACCATACCTGGTATCTGGCACATACTTTAGATCAAAGACAGACTTATCTGAAAATCCTCCATGGCGCACTTTGAAATCTCTTTCTGGGAATAAACCCTAAAAGACAAGGGGTGGCCGATCAGAAAGAGCCTACTCTTCAAGGGAACATTTCGGGCGAGCTCTAGACAGTCAGATCCTGGCCTGGCAAGAAACTACGGAAGTTGCTCAGCTCACAACAGATCTTCCTCCCTGCAGGGCCTCCGTGTGCTGTTACTTGTAAATGCGGGTTTCAGCTCTTACACTGACAGCTTCCCTCCTTTCCTTTTACGTTATTTATTTATTATTTTTCCTTCATTCATGACAGAGCATGTACACATGCACATGAGAGACAGAGAGAGAGCAGCAGAGAGAGAGGAGCACTCTCCACATGGTCTGGTCACACTGTGGTCTCCTTCCTCTAGTCCTCTAGCTTGCTGGTGCCGGGGCCCTCACGTGTGCCTGACATCTTTCAGGCTGACCAGGCCAGGGAGGTCGCCATGGGGGATCCAGCTTCTCCAGGGCAATGCATTACCACCATACCACAGAGCCGGCCCAAGACAGCTCCCTTTCTTCACTGTACACCCCAAACCCCTTCCCTGGACTCTTGCCAGCCCCTTTCATTATAGCACACACATTATACTCAGCCTTCACAGAGGAGTCACAGAGGCCAGGTGGCCTCTCCCCAAAGACAGCCGGAATTACCAGCCAATTAACACATCCCCTACCCTCCCATTAGAAGCCATGTGGGCTTTGGGATCAGCAGATGGCATAGTGGTTACATCCTTGGACTCCCACATGTTGATCACGGTTTGAGTCCTGCACCCAGCAGCTTAAAACTCATGCCAGGCATGTCTGTGTACGTGCCCAAAATCCTGAGAGGGGAATGGAGGAGAAGGGAATGCGTCATGGCCATCCTCCCATGAGGGGTGATTTCTGTCTTTCTGTCTCTCTGGCAAGCAAAAACATTATAGCAAAAACCTTTTTCCCTTCTCTCCTCGCAAAAAAAGGAGTCATGTGTGGGCCAGGAAATGGTGTGGTGGTTAAGGGCACTAGACTCCCAAATGGCCAACTGTGGTTCAAGTCCTGGATCTGGTCGCTTACTTTCTCACTCACTTTCTCTTTCACTCTTGCATGCAGGCATATATGCCCAGTGTGTTTCTCAAGTCACCAGGTCCAGGACTCAAACTGCATTGTTGATACGTGGAATAAAGCTGCCTTAACCACCAGCCCATAGGCTGGATAAAGTAAAATTGGCCTCTTCCTTTAGTAGCCTTTTGTAAACCATGAGATATTCCACAGTACATATCCCTGTGCATATCAATGTCCCCTCATCAGACTGTAAGGGCAGGCCCAGTGCTTCCTTTTCTTATTCTCTTTTTAGTATCCAGGATAATACTATAGGCAGTATACTACAGGTATTATCTGGCAGATAAAAGGAACTCCAAAAATGTTTAATAAATAAAGCCAACACATACACTCAGTATTTCCAGTTACCTGGTTTTCCTTTACAGAAAGTCTGAGAGGTAACATCAAATGAAGAATCTCATTTTTTTTTGAGCTTTCATAGCCAGCCACAAAGATTCCTGGAAAAAGAAGTAGAACCTACTGTTGACAAACTGTTAGAAAGCTTATGGGGAGGACCAGCAGGTGGCGTGGTGGTTAAGGCTCTGGACACTCCCACATGGCTAACTATGGTTTAAGTCCCAGACCTGGTGGTTTTCTTTCTCACTTTCTCTTTGTGCGTGTGTGTGTGTCTCTCTCTGTCTCTCTCTGGTCAAGTTAAAATAAATGAATGAATAAATCAAATTAAAAACACAACTCTTTAAAAAAAAAAAAAAAAAGCTTATGGGTGGTGACTGGGTCGATCAACTTCCAAGTCACTCACACCGTGAGTACAACCTTGTATCAGGGCATGGAAGAGATTTAATAAAGGATTATAACTTCTTTATTTTTAAGAATTATTTTATTTAACTGTATTATTGATTTATTTTATTATTTCTTTTTTTGGAGAGGTTTTTGCTATAGCGCGCGTGCGCTCGCCAGACAGAGAGAGACATAGAGACAGAAAGCGAGAAATCATCCCCCAGGGGGGATGGCCACGCCGCAATCCCTTCTCCTCCATTCTCCTCTTGGGATCTTGGGCACGCACGCACACAC